TTTTGACAAGATGAAAAAAAGTTTCATTAACTTTTTGTCATTTAACCCACTGACAGTTCTGCATGCAAAAAGTTGTATTTTAATAATTACAGGTGAAAATAGTCGTTATTTATAGGTGAAAATAGATGTTTAGAAATGGGTAAAAAATTACAAAAATTTGATCATGTCTAATAAGAATATTGAAAAAGAATTTGTCAAAGGGTATGAAAATTTCGAAATACTTAAGTACTCATAAAAAATTAGAACTTTTTTTAGACGTAAGTCATAGCCTGTACACTAACATTTATTTAAATTTTGGGAAGTGTGTTGCGAGCCCATACTAGGTTCATTACCAATTCTAATAGCAACATATGAAGAGGAATCTCGGACATTATAAAGAAAATAAACAGAACCTATTTAATGTAAAGCTAAAACTAGTTAATACCTTGGTATTTCTTGTCTATACATTCGTAATAGTTTAAGTAAGTCATCATAACATGCTTTGAAAGACGAGTTTTGAGGTAAAACTTTGCAATGAGTTGATAGAGCGATTTCACTAATCAGGCAACTACCATATCTTTGCCTTGTAAATAATTTACAGAAACATAATTGATTTGAGAATAGTCCTACAAAAGAAAATACATATAAATTTATTAAATAAATAATTTCTATCAATTATAATTTATCACCAAGCATTAATGACATAAACAATTTATTCCATGCAAATTTAGTACACATAACACATGATTTTATGCATAATTTAAAATGTACATACCAACTCTTCAAGTTTTTAAACTATTATGTTCAAGACACATTTAGAGGTCAGCAAGAAATTATACTCCAATATTTATGATACAATTAAACTCAATGCTATTAGTTTAGTACATATTTGAAAAAGTATGTGAAATAGGGATAAAAAGCATTTTAGAGGAAAATTTTAGATTATCAGCACCCGTGTTTAAATTATAGACAAATAGTTGCACTTAATCTTTGGTACGGTAGTTCATGTTGGGCGACGACTTCCTAAACAGTTTAACTGCAAAGTATTCTGCCCTATGCCAACATTTTTAAATTTCTTGGGGTCCATTTCAACCTCATTTATCCATTCATCTTCCCCATTTCTTTCACCTTGACATTGACCATTAAAGATCTTTTTTGTGCATTGGGCGTAATCCATTCTCTCTAAGTGCCTCAAGCAAAGGAATCTTTTTATTTTAAATAGTTTTCCCACACATCACTGACTTTGGCTGGACCAAAACTAAATTCAGATTTTTCTGTCCCTGGTAACTAACATCTTCTCATGTTTTGAGGTCTACGGTCCACGTCTCTGCCCCCCACCCTCCAAAAAAAAAACTGTTTCTCTGATCACAACTTTATAAGTTTCACTATCCATGGCTTTAGATCTTACTAACTACCTACTTAGCATTGTGAACCTCGAAGCATGAATTATGTATTTCTAAATAGAATTTTTACTGTAAAATTTATAATCATGTCTATTGTCAATTTTTTTTCAACACACTGTAGTATTCAAAACAAGGGGAAAGTGACCCTGATATATGTCGTATATATAAATAAAATTATTGAAAATAATCTTGCACACATAAATAAAACTAGATAACACAATTTCGCAAAATTGCTAAATTTTTATTTATATGTATTCAGAGTATTCTTTTTACAAGCTAACATATAAATATTCAGAGATATTTGAACATTAATTTGTAAACAGAGAAGCTGGTTAATGGGTAAATTTTTTATTCATTTTCATTGTCGATACAATAAGATTTTTTTGATTTCTCGTTCGGCCCTTAAATTTTCTTTAATAATATGATGTGATTCATTAAAACAATCCAAAATTAATAATTTCTAAGTTTATAATAGTTTCTAAAGTCAAACACATTCCATTCTAATAACAAGATCATTCTAAATTAAAATAATCATTTACTTCTACTTTAAAAACATTTTTATTAATAGTGTGGTTAATACTATAAAATATTTAAAGAGTTCAAGTAATATTTAAGATGCTTACAGACATAAATAATTAAATACAACCAAAACTCAGTGAGCAAACACAAATTAAAAACACTAGCAGTTAATTCTCCTCCAACAACTCATAGTTGCAAAAAATGTATATGAATTTTTTTATTGGCAGTGAAAGAATATAACATATATTTGGCTGACTGAAAAGCATATGCTTTATTGATGGATAATAACCCTTTAACTTCAATAGAGAGTCAATACTACAGCTGCATGGTAAAAACAAGTACTGATCAAATTGCAATCAAAGGGATACAAGGCAGTGGAATCAAAGAAATGTGTTTTTGTTGCATAAGGGAATAAAAGTGTATAAGCAATATGAGCAAATGATCACTGAATAAATCCATCATATGACATTATATTATAGAGAATAATCTTCCTTCCAAATTTTTTTTTCACAATATAAAAACTGAAGCACTTTAAACAAGTGTTATTTTTCAAATTTATCCCTGTTGAGAATAGATGTAAGAATGGATGACACACTGATGAGATGCTTAACATCAAATGTAATGTTTAAGGCTTTTTTCCCAAACTGTAACATATCCTCATTTTAGTTTT